CCCCCCCCCCCCCCCCAAATTCTGTTTAAGTTTAAAAAAAAGAAAACGGTTCCTTCCTAACCGGCTTCGCCATGCGTAGGTGCAAGATATTCTAGAGGGAGCGAAAGTGCTTGAATGGTTGAAAGAACGAGCCGAGGTCCAATACACCACTCGCTGAAGCAGAGCCAGAGCCTATTCTGCCGAGGCAACAGAAATAGGTACAACTGTTTTGTATGGTTTTTCATCATCTGACGAAATATAAACCGTTTTTTTACCAAAAATGTTACCAATATTCATTTTGCTCCTATTCTTCGGTCCACATACTAAAAAAAAGGAAACTGTTAAGAGAAGCATTCATTTACTCGCAGTTTTGCTTCATTCTGTAATATGGCGAGACCAGTTATCAAGCAGAAACCTGATCTACCTAGCCTAAGCAGGAATCAGTGTATGGTCTTTTAAGATGTCTGGGAATAGAATCCTAAGCATAGAAACACTTGAGAAAGGAGCAGAAAGAAAAACCCATCATCTATTTTCTTTTCTTTTTTAGCAAGTGGGAATTCCTAGGCTAAAACTTACCCTGCATCTCCTGCCAAAGAATGTCTCCGAGCTTCACGTAAAGCCTTTGCTGCTCGTCCTGGCTCAGGCTTCTCATTATCTGTACCAGAAACATCATTGATGACTCACCCATCAAGCAAGGTTGCTGGGGAAAAGTACAGAGTGTTGTAAAGTTTCATACCTCGTCCAGGATCATCTCAACGCTGTAGTCCTGAGGAATGATGAACGATTGGATATAGATGTATGCAAAAACGGCCATCACCATCTGAAAAAATTGTGCAAAACATTGCCAAGACTTTTCTCAATTCTCAAGTGACGGTACAAGAAGCATTAGTCCTTTAGTGTTATCTCCTTTGGTTGAGTTTGTATAGTTTCTCGAGTTAGACGAAGGATTTCACCCTGCAGGGTCAGTTTTGACACACAATATCCATCTATCTGCTGGCTATTTGGATTCACCTAGCTGTTATCAAAGGGATTGTATATATATAGGCCCTAATAGCATACTTGGCAATCCATTCTGTCGGTGAAACCCCCGTGCCCGGGAATGCTGTCCCCGAAATCCTGCATGCAGCAAAAGAGATTAGGGAACAACTCATCAGATCTATAAGATCTTCCATCTTCATCGAACTGAAAGTTTTTGGAAACAGAGAACCTAGATGTCTACCTTTATCTTGAAAGCTCTTTTGAAACCACTGGCAAAGAAACCTCCAAAAGGTGCTATTATCGATGCAAATAGACCGAGACAGAGGGCATGCCATTGCACCGGTAGAATTGAGATCTCTTTCCATGGAGTCTTGAAAGCAAATAGTTGTGGATCTTAGTGAATGTAAAAACGCAAGTGAAGGTTGAAAGCAAGATTACAAAACGGCAATGGCTTTCCACAGTAAAATTGCTTACAAATTGAGCAATCCACCAAGGCAATGGATAATACTCTGGCCTGAAGAGAGGGCCTTCATCACAGTAAAGCCAGCCGGTCGATAAATCCTGCAAGCGTCACATTCGCCGTGAAACAGAAATGACGAGCATCCGGCAGAACCACGGGTGAAAAAAATGGATATGTTAATTACCTTCCTCGGACATGTTAGCCACTGGAACTGGCCTAAGACATTTGCAAACTAAGCAAAAGTATGAAGTCAAATTACTCTTCAAATCAGGAAAACAAAAGGGCCTGAATTCAAGCGAGCAAGTAATTCAAACGAGCAAGTGAAGAGTGGAAGATGGAGATTACCACAAAAGCAGAGATTACGGTTGCTACCGATGCCCCGATAAAACCTTCCCAAGTTTTCTTTGGGGACAGTTTGATCAACGGTGTCTTCCCAAAATAAAACCCAAAGAAATAAGCCGCAACATCGTTCATTGCTATGAGCGCTGCTGGTAGAAGAAACCTGTACAACGCCATAGAATAAAAAATGAGGATGCTTTTTATATCTCCTTGTGAAAAAGGATAACCATTGATAAGATTTCCAGGGATGAGCTGTGTACCAGAAGATTCCTTCGAAGATATTGGCCACAGTGAAAGAAGATTGTGTAAACACCACGATAAGGATCATATGCGTCCAAGCGTACTGACCAAACTGGTATTTGTACATCTTCTTCTTCAGCGTAAGGATAAACCACATGAAACCTAATCCATTCAATTCGACAAAGGTTAACCTCGGTGAGGTATATCATTACATTTTGTGAGTCAAAAACAAGAACAACAAAGAAACATAAAGGATACCATGGTGGTCAAACAAACCTGCAATGTAAAGGAAATAGCAAATGACCATCTGATATTTGATGAAACCACTAACAAGCTTGTACAAGAATTTGTCAGAGGATACTGTGTTTACTAGCTGCTGACGAAGAATGCGGCCATAGACAAACAGCATAGACGTAAAGAAGAAGTGCCTGCGAGAAACAACACAGGTAAGTATCAGTTAGATCCAAGAACTTGAGAGAATTGTGATTCCTTATCCTCTGAATGAGTGAGCTTGAGTACCAGTTTAAGAGCCTGAACCCAGGTAAGTGTCGGTCTTCATGAGCTCTTCTAAGAAGAAGGAAGAGCTCTCTTGCCATAAAGATCTGTATGACCACAACCATAGCCCAAATGTAGAGATGACCCATGTAGATGATAAAGAGGACCCCTCCGAGCATCCATAGAGATGAACATGTCCTAATCCACATAGAGCGATACTTGCTTTCACTTACAGTAAGCAAATTGCTTCCATTTGCTCTGTTTACATCACCTGGAAACTGGTCACCGAAAAAACACCATTAAAAATTGAATATAACACACACAAAACAACTTAAGATACTAGTGTATATGTGAATATACCTCGCATGATCTTCTGCGATGCCGAAGACGAGGAGAAGAGGAACTGGGATAGTAATCCCGTTGTGATGTTGATCGGGCACTTGGTGAACTAGGAATTGGGTTATCCTTCTGGCCATTAGTCCTGACAGTCGGCGAATTGGGATGATTCTGATCCCTTTGTTTTCCCGTTCGTGGTGAACCGGGATAATGGTCCTTTTGCAATGCCATACAACTTCAGGCAGCAGATTTGAGACAGGATCTATAGGTATGCACTCTCCTCGAAATTACTTCTGCGGGTTATGAAAGAAGTTAAATCTTCCCATTGTAAGCTACAGAGCCAATGAAAAGCTCCAACAAAAATAAGCATTAAGACCGCATCTGAGCAAGAAAGAAAGCATATGATGCAACGGAATGCTGGATCAATCATTGCATTTCTTCATCAGCCTGTTGTGATCAGACTTTTAACCCAAGACAACTACCACACTGGTCAATACGTTCATGTATGTGTGTGCAACTGGTGAAAACATCGCTATGTTCTGACCAACATCTTCACGAAAGGATTTTCATTGTTCATGTACGCGCGTGTGTGTGTGCGCGCGCGCGTGTAAATGGTGAAAACATCGCCATGATTGGATTACTTGAGCAATACTCTTCACGAGAGGAATTGCATTTACGGCTAAAACCTAAAAAGAATGCGATGAATGGCACAACTAGAAATCTAGAATCATCTGCAACGCTAACACGTCTAAAAAATCCCCATGAATGGATTTGAATCGAACTTAGAACCCTAACGGATCAAGAGACCGGCGATCAGGGAAAAAAACCTACAGAGATTCGGATTTCGTAGTCTTCTTCAATGGAGAAAAACGTGGCACTGGGAATCAGAAGATGACCCCGAAATGGAAATAAAACCCTAATCGGAGAAAATGTTGAAATATTCAAACGGAGAAGTGCGCCGCAAGACGTCGTGGACGAGCACGTAGCGGTGATGACGTCATCACTTACCGACCCGAAGAAGGAAAGAGCGAGAAGGAAAAAAAAAATATCTGTACGCTTGTTTGGGGGATCCCACTTACAGAGGAGGAGCTACTCTTGACGCCACGTGTCCATTCCAAGTATGACGTGTCTATTTATATTCGGGCCTAATATTAACCAGATTTATTTGGGCCTGATTATGAATACGATTTGGGCCTAATGATGTAAGCCCATATTTTCTGGCTCATTGGTTCAGCGACTTAATTTTTTTTTATAACAAAAACCTTATCCTCTCTTCCTGGGCCCCACGAGATAGCCCAACAACAACTATTCCAATTGGGTCCATTCCATTATTTGGTCTCATGTTTTTCGGACATACCCTTTTACACTTCTGACCTATTTTTTTCTATTTATTTTAATATATTTTCAATCACATATAATAATAGTAATAATAATACTGTGGATCTTGATTTTTACTGCTAATACATACACCCTAATATATGATTAGAGCTGGTTTGAAAATAATGTAAATAGTTTGGTCGGACTTCGAAGGTACACCATGGTGATGATGATGATAATTTGGATTTAATACATTGATGTCTCATATGTCTTGTGATGGCAACTATCATTGATTATGATGACACTTTTTTTTTCATCACTTTCCATTTTCTAGCCTGGCTTTATTAAGACATTTTTGCCTTTTCCCTCTTTCTTACCACTTTTGCCCCCTCCCTTCACTATAATTTACGAGTATGCCCCTCTCCACTAGAGCGGCGCTTCGTTCTTCCCATAAAAATATTTCTAATTACCCTTTAAATATTGTGAAATATTAGACCACTTTTACCCTTTTACCATATACATTGTGAAATAACAAAACGAAGACGCCCCACTTATCTAATTTAATTAAAAGAAGTATATAAACTAAATGAAATTCTAACGCCAACCAATTAAATATAATATTCGTCAAGACATTGGAATGGATCTTCTTAAAAATACTTATCATAGTATGATTATATTATATACTTATAGTGTATTTATATTGTCTGGTTTAGCAAATTCTGTCTTCTTCAGAATTGGCTGGTGGTCCCCACAATTCTCTCGCATCATAAGCATTTTATTTCGAACACTAATAATCTGATAAAATCTGGAGCTAATCACAATTAACATATTGTAATGAGTGGCTAATTTTATACTAATTAGTAACAATTAAATACGATTAAGGATAATACATTTTGATTGATAGTAAAGTCTCGGTCTGGTCAAAGAAAGCACAGCGGTCAGTGCCATTTTCGTAAATAACGCAAGAAGATAGACTGATTTTAATTTGTTAGTTAATGAGGTTTGTTGTACTATAAAGTGGGTCCCATGCCTCTCATATCTCTCTCCTCTATAATTTCTCTGTTTCCTATGCTAGTCAGCTTTCTCACTCTAAACACTGACCATTGCCAAGAGAGAGAGTTTTAGATCTGGGAGAGGGGGAGGGGAAATCTTGCATAAACCCTAGCTCCAATCTCAATCTCGGTAAAGATCATTTTGTACTGATTGATTTAATCGTTTCGACTTCTGACCCTCTTCTCAGTTCTTTTTTACTGGGTTCTTTACTTCGGTTGTATCGCAAATGATGTTCGATTCCCGTGATGTTCGTGTTTTTATCTGCGAAAGGGACTTGATCTGTGTTTCTTCCGAACTCTGCTTGGAGGTGATCGGGATTTTGGTCGCACATTTTTTCGTTACAATGTGGGTCTGGCCAAAAAGGGTTTTGAACTTGAGGGGAAGTTCAACGGTTCAAGATTGAGTGAGAAAATCTGCTGAGATTCTTTGGGTTCTGCGATTTTGTTTCTTATTCCTGTTTTTAGCTCGTCAATGCGGTTTGATGCAAATCTTACGCCTTTTTAATTCCATTTCCATGGCTACGACTAAACAATTTTTTTTTTTCAAGAAAAATCTGGAATTTCTGAAATTTGTGCTCTTGTACCGTGTTCCAATTCAGTTTTGGTCCAGTTGTCTTCTGTGTCTACTCAGGAAACCTTCTGATTTGGGGCGAATGGCGGTGACAGATGCAGAAAACCCTCTGCTCGTTGAAATCACCTGTGGAACATTACTACAGAAGTTGCAGGTAGTTTTGCTTCAAAGTCCATCATTCTGTTGAGTTACTCATCTTTGATGTCGGTGTAATACAGACAACGGTCCTTCAACTCGTTTGAAACCCTTATGCAGGAAATCTGGGATGAAGTGGGTGAGAGTGATGAAGAGCGGGACAATATGCTTCTTCAGATAGAGCAGGAGTGTCTGGATGTCTACAAGAGAAAGGTTGAGCTGGCTGCAAAATCCAGAGCAGAGCTTCTTCAGACTTTGTCAGATGCTAAGGCTGAACTCTCCAGTCTCGCATCTGCTCTCGGAGAAAAAAGCTTCTTTGGCATTGTAAGTGAAAAGTGTAGGAAACATCTTCCGGGTTTTGTCGGGGATAAGTGAGTTTGAGTTATGGATGCCTTTCTTTTAAATGCAGCCGGAGAAGACTACAGGAACGATCAAAGAACAACTCTCTGCTATAGCTCCAGTTCTTGAACAGCTATGGAAGCAGAAAGACGAAAGAGTGAAGGAGTTTTCTGATGTACAGTCTCAAATCCAGAAGATATGCGGGGAGATTGCTGGGAGTCTGAACAATGAGGCTCCAATAGTCGATGAGTCTGACTTGTCTCTGAAGAAACTGGATGACTACCAGAGCCAACTCCAAGACCTCCAGAAGGAGAAGGTAAAGGATTACTTGTAATATCAAGGCGATGGGATTGCCTCTAAGTGCCTCTGAACTAAACCATTTGTGTTTCGGTTTGTGTTGGCAGAGTGACAGGTTGCACAGAGTGCTCGAATTCGTGAGCACAGTTCATGATCTGTGTGCTGTTCTTGATTTGGACTTTTTAAGCACCGTCACCGAGGTTCATCCAAGCCTGGATGATGCCACTGGCGTTCAGTCCAAGAGTATAAGCAATGATACACTTTCGAGGTTGGCTAACACAGTCTTGACTCTTAAAGAGGACAAGAAGCAAAGACTTAAAAAGGTATGTCAAAGATTTGTCCTTGAGACCTCTGAAGTTAGCATGGTCAGTTTAGGATGAAGAGATCTGGTTATACTTTCTTGTTTGTATAGTCTGTAGTAGAACATGTACCAACATCAGAATTTTGTTTGATGGCAATGAAACAGCAAATTGTTTTGCAACACTTCAATGCCTTTCTACACTTTCCACATCCTCAAAAATTTTAAGCCCTTTCGTATTTATTGCATAACGAATTTGTCGAGAGTTTAAAGTCATATAATTTGTGCTGAAACATGTTATCTGCTTGCCAGGCTGAATGACTTCTCGTGGCAATCTTTGTCCATCGGTTTCACTAATGATATTTTTTTTTTGCAGCTTCAAGAATTGGCCACTCAGCTAATTGATCTGTGGAATCTGATGGATACCTCTGAAGAGGAAAGGGAACTGTTTGACCATGTCACCTGTAACATTTCAGCTTCAGTTGACGAGGTGACTGACCCAGGTGCCCTTGCACTCAATTTGATCGAGCAGGTATTTTGAATTGCATTTCCACTTGATGTAACCATCTTCCTGGAAGTATTAAGAGGCATGTGTGATTAATAACTGCTTGCTAAATACTTGTCAAGGCTGAGGTGGAAGTGGAGAGGCTTGATCAGTTGAAATCTAGCAGAATGAAGGAAATCGCGTTCAAGAAGCAATCTGAGCTTGAGGAGATATATGCTCGTGCTCATATAGAAATAAACCCAGAGGCAGCTCGGGAGAGGATCATGACATTGATTGATTCTGGAAACGTTGAGCCTACTGAACTACTGGCCGATATGGATAGCCAGATTGCAAAGGCCAAGGAAGAATCACTTAGCAGAAAGGAGATATTGGACCGAGTTGAGAAATGGATGTCAGCTTGTGAGGAAGAGAGCTGGCTTGAAGACTACAACAGGGTACCCATGATTTCTCTAATCTGTTTACTCACAATCCTTGTGTCTCATGCACATATCCGCATCAACTTGTAGGTTACCATGTGATATTCTTAGATGATTTCTCGAGCTCTCTGACTTTTAACGTTGAAAACAGGATGAGAACAGGTACAGTGCAACCAGAGGCGCACATTTAAACCTTAAGAGGGCCGAGAAAGCTCGGATTTTGGTCAACAAGATTCCTGGTATGTGTGTAGAAAACCAAAGAAACACCACTAATCTATCTTTTTTCACTTTTAACAAAAACCTGGAACTAAAAGGCTTACGGTAATTTCTTGTGACACAAGCGATGGTTGACACGTTGGTTGCTAAAACCCGGGCTTGGGAAGAGGATCACGGCATGTCATTTTCTTACGATGGAGTTCCTCTGCTCGCCATGCTAGACGAGTATGCCATGCTCAGGCAAGAACGAGAAGAAGAGAAACGGAGGCTAAGGGTAAGTTAATGTCTGTCACTTTGCTGTATCACACCTGCAAATCCTTGTGTCTTTTGGGACAGCGTTTGACTAAAATTCAAAATCAAACGAGTTGCTACGATACAGTGATGTATCACGTAAACGCAGTTAACTTGAAGAGAAGTGATTTGAGAAATGGCCAAAACTATGTAAAGGAACCAAAATTTGTATCTTTAATTGTTTCCAGTCACGTATTAAATCACTCTGATCAGATTCAATCTTCCCAAATCCATATATTTGTTTCTTTCTTTCAACACTTTGTCTCTGCATTGGTTATAACAGGAACAGAAGAAGCACCAAGAGCTGCAACACACGACTGATCAAGATTCAGCGTTCGGGTCCAGGCCGAGCCCAGCGAGACCAGCCAGCTCCAAGAAAACCGTGGTGGGGCCACGTGCTAACGGAGGATCCAATGGAACTCCTAACCGGCGTCTATCTCTTAACGGGGCCCGAGCCAATGCCAAAGAAGGGAAGAGGGATAGTCTCAGCAGACCGGCCGCTCCTTCGAACTATGTAGCCATTACAAAAGAGGACAGTGCTTCTCATGTTTCCGGCGCCGACCCTGTTCCTGTTTCACCGTGATGATGATGATGAGAGAGAGAGAGATGTAACCATACAATGTTGCCGTAGGAAGTTCATCTCTATGAATCGAGATAGTAGAAATGATACTTCATTACTTGTTTATGCGTTTGTATCGGTGTTTGGAATGTGACTTCTCCTTTTAATGACTCTGAAACCCTTTTCTACCTCGTAGCTTTCGTTGTTTGTCGGTCAGGGTTAACTTGGACTGAATTAATTATTTCTGGATAAAATTGTATTTACATTATTCTTGTTACACTGTTGGGCGTTGTGAGCGTCGTCATTCTATAAGAACAAGCTCGTCACCTTATGTATCTCATGTCGCAAGAGGGTCCAATCGTATATATATTATATAAATTACAATTTTATTCAGTCAGTGCAGTTTTAACCCTGGCCTCGCAGTAGGGTCATTTATTGATATTTCAAAAAGGTTGGGGGAGAAATAATGACTAGTCAGGAACTTTCTGGGTGTGATTTGATAAGTTGTCAAATGACAAGGACTGAACTGTTAAATATTTATACATATATTTTTGGGTCACGAGGAATTTAGAAGCAAGAGTCAAGTAATTTCAGTTTGTCCAAGTTTCATCCGACAACGTGGCTTGTGAAGAGAGAGACAAAAAAAAAAAGGGAGAGAGAGTGGAGAGAGTGCATGCATGCATGCAGAATCAAGAGACACGTCAAAAGATGCCACAAAGCCACCGTTCGGTGATGCATGTTTGCCACGCACCTTTCCTCATCCTCCTCTCTGTGACTATAATCACTCTCTCTCTCCCTCCAACATTGTAACAGAGAGATAATCTGAGAGAGAGAGAGAGAAAGAGATCAGATGACAACGGAGGTGATGGAGAGAGACGCCATGGCCACGGTGGCTCCGTACGCTCCGGTGACTTACCACCGACGTGTTCGGGGTGATTTGGAGGATAGGCTTCCCAAGCCTTGTACGCATCTCTCTCTACCATTTTCTTTATTTGCATCTCCACTTGGCTTAAATCTTGAACAAAAAGCAAGCACAGTGCCGTTTTGAAAGTGTAATTAAGAGATCGTGGACCATGATTATGACTAAATAAACGACGAATGGTTAGATATGCCAAGAGCATTGCAAGCACCAGACAGGGACCATCCGCACGGAACACCTGGTCATAGGCACTACGGCCTCAGTGTTCTTCAGCAGCATGTCGCCTTCTTCGACTTGGATGATAATGGCATCATCTATCCTTGGGAGACTTACTCCGGTGTCCATTCATATTTGATTCTTCAACTATATATAAACATATATACATATTGTTTTGCGTTTCTTATATATTGTGCCTATTTTGTTACAAAATTTGAATATGTTTTGGTCAGGATTGCGCTTAGTTGGTTTCAATATATTCGCCTCTCTGATCATAGCCGCCGTTATCAACTTCTGGCTCAGCTATTCTACTCTACCGGTACATATAATTCCGCCCATCCTCCATCGATGTTATAATCACTTGAAAAGCCAGTTTCCATATATATATATATATATATACATATTTGTCGTTGTATGTGTTGTGTAGTGATTCTTGGAGTGTTTATATATATATATGTTGGTATTTGATTACAGGGATGGTTCCCATCGCCCTTCTTCCCTATATACATACACAACATTCACAAGGCGAAGCATGGAAGCGACTCCGGTACTTATGACAACGAAGGAAGGTTCGTCGCGAGATATGCATTTTATATATATCTAATAATATAGATAGATAGATAGATATACGTGGAGAATATATTGTAATAATTTGAGGTAATTAATTTTATCACGTGCTCAATTTTTACGCAGGTTTAGTCCGGCGTCCCTGGAGATGATGTTCAGCAAATACGCAAAAACCTTACCCGACAAGTTGAGTCTGGGAGAAATATGGGACATGACGGAGGGACAGCGCGTGGCCTTCGACTTCTTCGGCTGGTAACTATTTTAGCAGTTGCATTCATGACAAGAACCTCGGAGTCTAGATTGAGAATCGATCATGTCTTGGCATAGTTAATGGATGGCCATGTTTCAATATGGTTTACAAAGGACAATGTGTGTGGTGCCACGTAGGATGTCAGTCAATAGATTTTTGGGCAATTTCGCCTTTGGCACCAATCCGCAAAGTTTGGACATTTCTCAAATTTGAGAATAAATTTGTGTCAAGAAATTTTTTTCCATAAAATTTTACAAATTCTGGAATTTTAATAGGATTTTTACCATATATATATATAGATATGCGGGGTAGATCTCATTAAAACTTTAAAATGTGTAAACTGGTAGAATGATGGAAAATGTAAAATGTGTCATTATAATTATAATTGGTGTCAAAATAGTGATGTAAAAGTTTATAATAATGGTACATTTTGTAAGTTTGAGAATTATAAATGATAAATTTTATATGGGAATTGATATTCCACCATTTGAAGAACTTTAATGAGATTTAACCATATATATATATATATATAATTGCGATATATATATATTCTAATGTATTTAATGATGGCATTGTGTGTGTGTATGCATATAGGATCGCGACAAAGCTAGAGTGGGGGCTATTGTACGTGTTAGCGAGGGACGAAGAAGGGTTTTTGTCGAAAGAAGCCGTGAGGCGATGCTTCGATGGGAGCTTGTTCGAGTATTGTGCCAAGATCTACGCCGACATTAACGACGACAAGCTTTATTACTAAATATACGGTATCTCGTTTTTCATGACCGTACATCAAGAAAAAAAATACACACTAAATACAATTATACACTATATATATGTATATGTCGAATGTGTTTGTTATTAATGTTTTCTACTTATATTGTTGCCTGAAGGTGCAGCTTTGTAGCCGAACCCTTTTGTCTCAGCTATAAGCCTTTGTATGTGGTTGTGTGTTATCTGCCAAAATATACAGTGAAAGGGTTTAGGGGGTGTTTTGGATTCGATTCGAAATTTTAGCAGCGGTTTCAGGTTTATTCGGTATTCTAAAATTTATATCAAATTAGTAAATTCGGTTCGATTCCTATTTAGTATCGTATATAATTCGGTTTGATTTCGATTTCGACACGTTTTGGTTTTTTTAACAAAAACCGAAGTAAAAAAATTTCGGTTTTTCGAAAATTTTATAAAATTGGGTTTATAAAAAATATATTTGATAATTTTGAATGATTCAAAAATATCGAGATTTTCGTTTCGTTTCGGTTCGGTCCGGTTCGGTCCCGAAGAATCGAAACAAAACGCCTAATCTTGTTTCATGTGGAGTTGAAAATAAAACGAAGAGAACTTAAGCCAGATTCCAGAGGGACAAAAGGGACAAGAAAAGATTGAAAAAAAAAACCCTAAATGCCAAAAAGAGAAAACTTACTCGAATGTAAAAACGTTAATTCTTTCCCCTTGTCCCTTAACATATATTTTACTTAGTTTCGGCTAGTTGAAGCGAAAGACAAGGAAGCGACGATGTGAAAGAACTGCAGATTCTCCAAGACCTCGTTGGCATGGCGGGTGGCTCTGCGTTCCACCCGCGTGAACAGCTCGTGGCTGAGCTCTTCCCCGATATGAGCCTCGACCAGCACTCCGGCCACGCTCCGGCAGCTGCTGGAGAACGCCCTCCCGACCTCGACCGCGTCATCCGGCTCGCTCACCACCAGCGGGCTTCCCCCTTTGAACACCACCAGTTTCTCCATCACGAACGATCCGTCCGCCTCCACCACCTCCCTGAAATCTTGTAGGCTCGGGGCGTAAACCGGAATGTTGAAGCCATCTCTCTTCTCCGCCGTCACCAGGCCCTGCCACATTTTTTAATCAAAAGAATCTTAAATTAACGTTTATCTCTAATAATGTAGCATTGATTATACAAAAAAAAAAATTGGATTCGGAAAGAGGGAGTATGCCACTATATATCCGTA